AAGAGTAACTTGTTTTTCTTTCTCTAGAATCTTGTAAAATATCTTTATCCACAAAGTTAAAGAATTTCTCGAGGATGTGCTAAGGTGTGTGTGTGTGTGTGTGTTCTTAATTTTACCTGGAACTTCGTCTTCTGAGCCATTTCTTCTACTTGGTCTTCAAAACCAGTCATTTGGATTTCAACAGTGACCACCCTTCCTTCTTCAACATATCTATTCTGTGTTTCTGGTTTCTAAATTATGGCTTTCCCCACCTTAGCGTTCGGCTGTTACTGCTGGCTTTGCTGCTGTGCCTTTTTTTTCGTACTTAGATGTCTGAGAGTGCTCTTATTATAATCTTTCATTTGGGTTTGGGCTTTCCTTTTCTTCCCATCGCTCATTTGCATTCGGAGCTTCCTGATCTGTCTGTTTTGCATCATACCTCACTTCCTACGTGCTGGGCGCCATTAAGCTTGTCGCTGCTTTCCTGGGGGCTGCCTTGGAAGCAGTGACAAGTCGTCTTAGTCGCTGGGGACAAGCCTTTCTACTCCCTGGGTTCCGGGGCTGGCACTCTCAGTACTGGAGTGGAGAAAAGGCGTCCACTTAGGCTCCCTCAGCTCCTGAGGGGCAAGGAAGACAGCTGCCCCTGCAGCACGACGTCCACTCCCGTGAGTAGTGTGGGAGGGGCCGGGGAGCCTCTCTCCGGCACCGGGAAGCCACAGCGTCCTCTCTGATCCTCACGCTAGGGCTTCACCCCACTTCGAGCGTTCATCTGGCCCAAGAAGAAAGGCACGTGCATCGTGGACCCTAAGAGGGTTCTAGACCTCATTTGCACCCACATCACTGCTCAGATCAGGAGGGGTAAAGAGCCATTTGGGAGATGGGTAAATGAGGCATGACTCGAACAACGCTTATACCACAGTCCCGGATACATGTGCACAGAAAAACTCAGACCGTGCCTCTAATGCCCTTCTGTTTCTCAAAAGAGGGTCACATTTGGTCAGGGGAAGGTCTAGCATCCGGAATCTTGTATAAAAGGTGGACCGGGACTCAGGACACAGCCCACCAAGCAGGTGCAGCAGGTGCAGCAGGAGGCTTCAGGGCTTGTGGCATCTCCTTTCCCACCAACTCTACTGGAACCGGCCTTGGGCCAGCAATACCATGAGGTGAGAAGTCGTGTCTGTGGGAGCTGGCGGTTGCTGAGCACCCCTGATGGCGACAAGCAGGAAGAGAAGGCAAATCCCAGAGCAGCGGTGAGGAAACAGGAGAGTTGCTGGGACCAGAAGCAAGCGGTCAGGGAGCCCCACTCAGAAATCAGTGACCTTCCTCCTTCCCTTTCCTACTTTGTAAATTTATTATGTATTTTGATTTCAGGTGCGTACAAACACAGACATAAGACTGTCTGCTTTTCAAATTTAAAAACAGGTAACCTTCCTCCCCTGACATTCTATAAATGAAGAATAAATGGTAGGCTTTTCATTTTAAAATTCTGAAATTCACAACCACGACACTGATGACTGACTAACGGGTAAACACTTTGGGTTAAGACTGTCTCAGAGGTGTTTTTCCTTTTTTTCCAGGGTTAGGGTTCTGTGGAAAAAAAGTGTTCCCACTTCCAGATATCACCTCATTTCAAACTTCGCCTTCACGGCCAATGTTCCTCACTGGAGTTGATGAGCTTCCGCATTTGGTCAAGGACATCACAGGCAATGTACATAGTGCGGAGAAGGAAAGATCTTTTATTTTATCACTTCTCTAAAAACCGTGGGATGATCTTATGCAGCTGTTTCATAAGAAATGTGTCTCAGATCTGACAGGATAAATTCCCTTCAAAGATGAATCAAAGAAAATAGTATCCAAGAATGCCAAAGAAGCCACTATTAGCCTAACCCCAATCACACCTACAGAGAGCTCCACAGCTGCTGAAAGGACTATTCCCACCAGCCAGTAAGCCACACGGAGAGATTTAAAAGGAGAGAAAGAGATCTGTGTGAGAACCGGTCAAACGACACATTACTGTGGAAAGGAAACCCTCCTTAGCTTTACAGTGTCTGAATATAACACGTAATTAACAATAGCCACTTGCCAGTCAGTAAAGCCATAGAAAATGATTAAAATTAAGTTTGATAATAGCCATAAAATTGGTCGATAAAAATAAAAATATTACATTTCTTTTTTTTATAGTTGACTAAAATCATTGTGTTTCTAGATTTGAATTCTCCATGTAATTGCATTAACAGGCGTCTCTACTACCCCTTCCTGCAGCTGAAGCTGCATTTTCCTGTGTCATTCAAAGAAGAAGTGGATTTGGACTGGCAAGGCGCTTTGAAACTCCATGGACAAGCTCAATTAGCATGATTCTTTGGAAGAGTTTCAACGGTCTTTGGCTACCATTAATATTTTTAATCTTTCATTTTTATTATGTGTATGATGTCAGGAGCTGTGGCAGGAAGCACATTTTGTCAATTAAATAATTAATACCACAGCATAATAGTCAGGGAGGAAAAACTGACATTTGTCAGGTTCAAAGAAAATGAAAGGCTGGGAGGATTCTTCATCATGCGTGCTTGGGAAACACATCATCCGATAGCAGACTTTCCCTTGTTCCTTTCTCACCTCATCTGCCGCTCCTGCTACAAATATTCCCCACATCAAAGCAGACGAAAGAAAAAGCATTTGCAATGCCTCCCTCTTCCCCACATGCTCATCCACCCAATCACAAAATCACGTCCATTTTATTTCCCAAATATTGTGTCCAGTCTCCTCATTTCTCTCGATCGGTACCATCAAAATTGGCTAAGACTGACTCCAGGAAACCAGAGGGCAAGGTTGACACTGAACTGCCCGTTTTCTGCCTTGGCAACCGCACAGAGGTTAGAAGCCTGAGCACCTGGGGGCAGACAGGCCTGGGTTCAAGTCCCAGCACGGCCCTCACTGGCCGTGGGATCTCAGGCCTCCAAGCCTTGACCGTCTCAACCTGTGAAAGGACGATGCCCCTGGGCCCTACGTCCCGAGGTGCTGGCGCACGTGACTCCGAGCACACTGACTGAACGAGGTAAGGAATCAGCACACCTCAGCTGTCCACAGCAGTGCCTTCCATTTACGTCCTTAGTACGACCTGACTTATGAACACGTCAACCGAATGGCAGCACCTCCGCACGCTGCACTTCTGCTCTTCCTTTCACCTCCGCTCTGAAACCTCTTCTCACCACTGCACTCGGCCGCTCCTGACAAGAGGCCCCTGTCGGCTGCCTTGTCTCCGTCCCTTCCCTCTGCCCCGTTCACTCTCTAGTCCTTGGCTGGCAAGGAGCTAGGTGACAGGGATGTTTGGTTCCGGGCTTTCCACAGATGGTCTCGCCGTGTCGTCAGCAACAGTGTGCACGGGACGAACGCTGCCTGGGAGGTGAAGGCTTCAGCTCGCTATTTTTAACCCGTTAAGCGTCCGCTCTGCCTAAACTAAACGCTTGCTGGGGGCAGAGACGCGCTTCCCCGGCGCATCACGCCACACGTGCTGCTTTGTTCCCTCTCACAGGATCCCACAGTGTAGCTGCTTCTTTGCCAACAGGGCACTAAAGGTTATTTTTGTTACAAAAGGTGAGACTTCACACCGGGTTCAGATTGCCTGCATTTCTACAGTACCTGCTGTTTCTGAAACTGGTGAAAAATGTACTCTGATAATCTCTGTTCACTGTGTAGAGATTATGAAAGAAGAAATGGGGTTTAGAATGATCACACATGGGACAATGAACTCAAGTCCCTTAATTTAGCAAGAGTACCTATCTCAAATATCTGCTCTGTATTTCCCTTAAAAACTGGATTTGAAATGTTCAGCAAGTTTTTCCTCTTTCGTATAATTTGATACCTGTAATTAGTAAGGCATGCTTTCGCGGGGAACACAACCTCTCTGGCACATCAAATGAGTCTTCTTGACGTAAACTGGTTTAGGTGAGGGAACACTATTTCAACCTATTGAGGGTGGCTCTTTCCACAACGTAGAGAAGAAAAGAACCATGGAAAAGTTCAAACTTTGGAATGATTTATAGCATTGTTACTTTTTCTTAAGTTTGTTCCTGTTCAGTATTAAACTGTTAGTCACACTGTCTGTAAGGTGACTGGAAAAGAATGAATATATTCTTTATTTCTGAAGTTTGATTTATTTTTCCTTGTTTCTTGATAAAATTAGCTACGGGATGCTAAGTTCTAGGTAAATGAACTGTGCAGTGCAGATGTAAGAGGATTTTATTTTTATTAGTGGTAACGTTGCCCACATCTCAAGACTGTGTTGGAAGGAACAAAATGTCCCTCTGTATGCCTAATTTTAAAGAAGCCACTGTCTTTAAAGCACGGAAATCAGTAGGGTTAGGACTGTGAACTCGAGTTACAGAAGTCGCTATTGCACTGGCAGACCACGCAGGCAGAAAACAGAGCGTAAAAGTGTCCAACAAACACATGGGAATGACCAAACCATAATGGATTACATTATGGGAAACCAGGATGTTTTAAGGCCTAAACTTAACGTCCCAAAATGCCTTCGAGAGAGAAAATGGAACCCTTGTGACGCAGGCTCTTCTATAAACAGACAAACAGCTGGGCCAGATGGATCACGACATGATCCAGAGAAGAATTCTTACTTTCTCATGAGGGAAGATGAGTCTCCTCACGCCAGTTCTAACTACAAAAACAGCGTCTGTGTGCACCTCCCTGAGCCTGGCAGGGAGCCCTGGAGACCTGGGTTTCAAGTTTAGGCACCAACACTTGGACCACACGCAGAATCGCAACCTCACATACGAAATGCGGGGTGTGGGATGATTCTTTACATGGGTCCATACCTGCATCTGGGTCCATGTGTCCGTAGGTGGCTTCCTACTTTTAATGTGGGATACTCGGGGATCATCTAATATCTCAAAGTCTAAATCAGAGGATAGGACATCAATCTAAGAAATAATCATACCACCTCGAAGGGAAAATGTGACCCCTGCAAGTTAGCAGGAGCTGTGCTTCGTGTTACTAGAGCAACGACCTACCTTGTCTGGTGAACTCATCTGCTTCTCTGTGAACCAGATCCTTTACTCTGTTTCCATAAAGCAGCCGCGAGGAATCGTGATCAAAAGCTTTCAGGGTTTCACTGGAACTGTAAGACTTCTGTGTGGGAACCCTGCACTCCGCGCTGTCTGCTGAGGAATTGGTATAGCGCCGTTCCTTCTCCCGTCTGTTCTTGGTCAGGGAGCAGTAAGGCCTACGTTCCTTCACATCCATACTTCATTCCTTCCGGGCGCACATCAGTCCCGGCGAAGTATGCTCAGGGTTCCATTCTCACTGGCCTGTCTGTGAAGATAAAAGGTTTGCATGATGTCAGCGTCACATTCGCCTGCAAACCGACTGCATCCTTCTCAATCTGGAGAATGGTGGAAAGTAAGGGTATTATTGCTTGTTGAGCAAACTTGCTTTCCACAAGAAATGAAAATTCGTGAAATCAGTGTAAAATGTCCTGTATTATCAGGAAGTGAGGCACACGTTCTGGTAATGAGAGCTATGGGTGCTTGTTTAAGCTACTAGATCTGATTTTTCACATTAGTACAAAAAAAAAGTAAGGTCAACCACCAATTGTGATACAGAAGCTAGCTAAAAGTTGGTCTTGACGTTTTCTAAATTTTCCACAATGGAAAAGTTTTCTCTTGCTGCATTTTCTCCATTCATAAAAAATTACCTTTCTCTTTCTTACAAAAACGTATACTACTTTATTTATTTATTTATTAAAGATTAGGAGCAAATTGGGAGCTTCACAGAAGTAAAACTTTGTCAAGTGCGTTGAACATTTGATTATTTTTCACAAAGACGTTTCCTTCAGAAGGCACAATTATCATGTGTTAATGACCTAAATGTCTCGACAGGTGGAAGAAAGCGGATCCTTCGCTTCTACTCCTCTCCTTCAAAAGCACTGTGCTTTCTAGAAAATGAATTTAATCAGCACTATCTTGATTTTTAAGGCAATGCAAGTAGCTAAATTGATGGGATAGATTCCTGCAAGGGCCGGTAGCGAGAATGAGTTAGAAGGAGCGGGGCGAATTGTGTTTCTCTGCCTAGCAACTCTCTTTTTCCTGAATTTGCTAAAAGGACAGGGGTCAGGGTGGGTAGAAAAGGCTCTGCTGCTGAAGATACAGGGCCCAGAAGAGGGAGGGCCGTATCCACATTCTACACCGTGGTCCAGGGCTCATCCACATTCTACGTGGTCCTCCTTTCAATTCTTTCTCCTTTTGTCTTTCCTCTCACTCTGAAGGTCCCTTAAGGCCTTGTCTTCAGCATTCAGTGTCTTCCCCACCCCACTCCTTTCCTAAACTCACTTTTTATTTGAGTGATTCCACAATCAACTTGAAACAAATGATTCCTGGTGGCCCCAGGTCTTCTCCTTGGTTCCACGTCCTTAGGGCTGGGACTTGTACTTAGCTATTTTCTCCTGAGAGTCCTTCTCCGGAAGAGTCTCTCTCCCCCTCTCTTCATCCTTGGCCATCATGAAACACATCACACTGCTCTCTCTAATGTGCTTCCAACTCGGAGTCTCTTCGCTGACTCTGATTCGCCCACGTCAACTCAGGTTACATCTACGCTGTCAACAAGTCTTGATTCTATCTGAGCAAAATTACGACTCCGAATACCTTTCACTTTCTAACTTCTGCCTTCCTTCCAGCGATAAGGAGAGTGGGGAAACTCTGAGCTGGACTGACCCCAGAACACCAGAACCTATGCTTGGAAAAGTTGGGTGCTCCTCCAGCCGCCTCTTCAACCAAACTGAATCCTACCCGTCCCATATTGAGGGTATCCCACATGGGGCTCCATGTGTCTCTGCTACTGAACTGAGCTGCACTGTTAAAGCAGCTGCTAATATCTTAGCTTGGTTGTTGACACGTATCTTGACTTCCTTACCTTTTTCTACTTTTTGATGAATCCTATTTTATAAACTAACATTTTTCACTGACCCCCTCTGATTCATTACTCCATTTTTCTCTTTACAAGTTCTCCCAATAGCTTTCAATAGAAATTGGATTCCCCTTAACGTAGCTTTCCTTTCTGTTTAAGACAATAAATAATTTCAAGGTGCAGTGACGGGGCTATATTTGTACAACAGGATTAAAACAACAACACACGGATTTACTCTTGTTATTCCAACAAACAGAAGTCACTTTAGATAAATATTTATTGAATGACTAACATGCTGAGAACATACCACTGAATCAAACACTGTCCCTGCCCTCAGGGAACATATGCTTAGTGAGGGAAACAGGTACATTCCTTCTACTGGAGTGAATAAATATGCCCAAGTTAAAGGAAAATCTTGTTTCCAACATAGCCTTGATCTCGTTGGAGGAAAGGTTTATACAGACTCTCATAACTAAATGATCCTCAAAAAGCTTTCCATTGACCAGAAAAATACTGTCATTCAAGCATTTTTAGTGATAGAGTTTTGGGATTTGAAATCATTATAAAGGTTCCATTTCTTGCCCTAAGTTGACATCTTTCAAAAAATAAGTGTTGCTATATATACAAATATGTAGGCATTTTTATACTTTAAAAATGGACCGACTGGGACTTCCCTGGTGGTGCAGTGGTTAAGACTCCGTGCTCCTAATGCAGGGGGCCCGGGTTTGATCCCTGGTCAGGGAACTAGATCCCACACGCCACAGTGAAGATCCCGTGTGCCTCAACTAAGACCTGGAGCTGCCAAATAAATATGTTTTAAAAAATGAACTAATGCCAGGAAAAATGTTTTATTTTTTCTTCTCTGCTGCAGTTTTGTTTCAATTAGTTAGGCCAGGCATTGGTAAACTCTAGTCCCCTGACCCAATCTGACCCATGACCTGCTTTAGTAAATACAGTTTTACTGGAAGGAGGCACATGTATTCGTTTACGTATTCTCCTTGGCTGTGTTCACGTTGCAAAGACAGAGTTGAGCGGTTGCTACAGAGACTGTAGTGAATCGAACTGTGGCTCCCAGAAAGATATGTTGAAGTCTTAACCCCTGGTATCTGTGAAGGTGACCTTATCTGGAAATATGGTCTTTGTAGTTGTAATCGAGTTAGGATGAGGTCATAGTAAGTTAGGGTGGGCTTCAAATCCAATGACTGGTCTCTTTATGAGATAGAAGACGGGGATTTGGATACAGAGACGTACAGACAAACAAGAAAATGGGCCATGTGACGTTGAAGGCAGAGATGGAGGAATGCAGCTACGAGACAAGGGTGCCCAGTGTAGCCAGCAGCCACCAGAAGCCGGCAGAGACGCGGGGAACAGATGCCTCCCTAGGACCTCAGAGGCAGCACGGCCCTGCCAGCACCTCACTGACATACTTCTTGCCTCCAGAACTGAAAGGATACATTTCTGTTGATTCAAGCCATCAAATTTGTGATATTTTTTTACCGCAGCCCTAGGAAACTAATACAGAGATCTGATGGCCCCACAAAGTCTAAACGATTTGCTGTCTGGCCCTTTACAGAAAAAAAAAAATTGCCCATGTCTAAGTCAGACCACACATATTTCCATTCTGTCTTTTTCTTTGTTCCTTTGGACCTTTGAATGTAAAAAGTATTTTCTTTACTATGTAGTCCATGATACAGTTTTTCAGTCTTGCAAATCAGATAAGTCAATAAGTTCTTTAAAGTAATAATATGCACATACGTCATCAGTAGCAAAGATGCATCCTTGCAATAACGTTACCAATGTTTAAAAATCAATTCCAGTTAAATGTTAATAAATTAGGAACCAAAAGATAATTTTATGTATTCTTGAGCTTTATACAACATCTCTAGCACAAAATATCTGACTTTTCTTTATTTGTGGAGCAATTCTAAAGTGCCACGAAAAATCAAGATAGAGTATTCAAATACACCGTCAAAGAAAAAGACATTTTGGGCTTACAGCTTCCAAACACTAAAAAATCTTTTGCATCTGTATTTCCGGTTTTGCACATGGTTCAAAGTCTTCAAGGATTTAATTTACACTGTAACGTTTGCAACTACTGATATGCTTCTGATGGAAGTCAGTGAGTTCAATGTGATTTCAAAAGGCACTTTTCTTAGATTAATATCCCATGGAAATGACGGTGTTTATTAGAATATCCCAACGTTTTGTCTATATCTATAATTTCTTCTGTTTACATTTACTATTAATCTTGTGATTAATAGTAAATTAATCTTGTAATTAATAGTAAATTACATTTACTATTAATCTTGTGATTTACGTAGTTTTAAGAATCACATCCATAAAGGATATCGGGAAAATTTGTTGTGTGAGGCCAGTGTGATAATTATTTATTTGATATTAAAATTATGATATTAATTAACATACTGGGAGTTTGGGGTTAGTAGATGCAAACCATTACATTTAGAATGGGAAAACAACAAGCTCTTACTGTAGAGCACAGGGAACTATATCCAACCTCCTGGGATAAACCATAATGGAAAAGAATATAAAAAAAGAATGTATATAGGTGGATAACTGAGTCACTTTGCTGTACAGCAGAAATTAGCACAATATTGTAAATCAACTGTACTTCAATAAAAAAATTTCTTTTTAATTAAAAAAAAAAAAAGGCAGTTTTCTGCATTATCTCCTGCACTCAAAGCTGAAGACGAGAAGGTTAAAAAAATACAGCTGCTTGGGCTTCCCTGGTGGCGCAGTGGTTGAGAGTCCGCCTGCCGATGCGGGGGACGCGGGTTCGTGCCCCGGTCCGGGAAGATCCCACATGCCGCGGAGCGGCTGGGCCCGTGAGCCATGGCCGCTGAGCCTGCGCGTCCGGAGCCTGTGCTCCGCAACGGGAGAGGCCGCGGCAGTGAGAGGCCCGCGTATCTTAAGTGGTGTTAAATCGTTGAAGCACTTTGATGGTGACTGCATAGTCCTACCAGAGGAAGAGGGTCGCTGGCAGCATATTTAGCATAAAGCAGTTAACGAACAGGACCCTCGCTGCGTCAGGGGGCGGGGCCTTTGAAAAGGAAAGGAAACTAGTAGAAAGCAAGGGGACCGAAAACTTTCAGTTGAACTGCCTACAGCAAGTATATGACAATATCAAACTGATGTGGTTAATTTTCATTAGCTCCTTGAAAAACCGCTCAGTTACTGCCCACAGCACCGCTCTGGAAAACACAGCTGGTCTTAGAACAAATTCCATTATTTGGCTATTGGTTTTTTCTCAATATCTTGCAAAGCGTTTGATTGTTTGAATGAATGCACAGGCAGTCCTGACTTAGGGACACTAGGGATCGTATCCTCTATTTCAGATACTGTATATTATTTCAGCATGCTTTGAAACTTGGCCACAGAACTTAACGACATTGTC